ATAAAAGGCGTTTTTTCCACGAAACGTATTTTTTTCCCAACCTGTGTCAATACAGTCTTTTCCTAGACTACTGTTTTGTGGAGTTTTCTTTTATCACATTTTAGAAGTACATTTTAAAATTTTAATTTCATGGGTTTTGAGCCCCAGTTACTGCAAGAAGCCCAAGTCAATTCTAGATTTACTGGGGGATAGGAGCCAGCTTTTTATTTTTGTGTTCTGGGGAAGTTTATGATAGAGTGAGATAAACATCCCAAATAGTTAAGGTTGTTTACCCTGCATCACTTGGAAGACATTCTTGACATCACTTGTATACAACTGAGCAGGGGAGCTGCTCAATCAGTGCTGACAGAAATGAAACCCAGATCACCCAGCCTCAGGGCATACAGACTATACTTCAGTGTGTTAAAATCTGCTTCTGTTGGGATAAAAACAAGCCAAATTTTAGTGTGTATGGGCTCCTCTTCCAATTTTATTTCAGTCGTTATTTCAGGACACTTTATCTCACCATGACATATCTCTATAGTATCTTGGGGCTTGCAAGAGGGGAAGAATATTGCAAAAGGATCTGGTGCCATGCTTGTGCAGTGTAGTGACTTTACTATTGTCCCCAAATATGCAAGTCTTAGACTTGGAGAGCCTGGATTCTGGAAGCTACCAGCAGGAAATTCAAGGCAACATCAAAACTTCAAAAATTTTTCCTGTTCTTTTTTGACTCTATAATTTAGTGATGCCTGTCCGAAAGTCACCCCCTGACATTAGTAGTAGGGAGATATGCTGAACATTAAGAGATTGGAAAGGCATTTCCCTGAAACAACTGAAGTGCCAGTCCTGCCCTTGGCTAGGAAAGAAGGAAAGAAGGGGTCTTGGTTACATTGTTCAGCGGTGCTGAAATCCACTTTGTCCTTTACCTATGTAGTGGTCCTAGGTTTGATAGTATATGTGCTGATCTTTGCATGAGTATTGATTATAAAGATGTTTATTCCATGTAAAGGGCACATCAAGATGTGCCCTTTAAAAGCTGCTCCATACACATTCTGCAGGGACGAAGCCTGCGAATGTGCTTTTTCTTTCCTCTGATTCTTATCTCATGCACATGTAAGCGTAAACCACTCATTGCAGTGGGAATATCTGTGATTTGCAGTGCAGGTTGAGTTCTTTGCTGGTACATGTGCTGGTAACAAATGGACTGAGGAGCTCACTAACTCTCATACTTGAGTCTAGGAAAGCTTGAGCATGACTCACTTAGGAATGCTTTGTACTCCCTTAATTGCATAATTACCTTAGAGAGCTCACTGGCCATTTGGCACAGAGGTCATGCCTGTTTCCTCTGAACACAGGAATAACCCCTCCTAGATTCTCCTATCAGGATAAAAAGGAGTTGTTAGGAAGATGTATGGCCATGGTCCCTCTTTTCCTCTGTATAATCCAGGATCAGTATTTGTGCACAACTACAAAGTTCTTAATTCTCTGAAATGAGGATGGAAAAGTCCATTACTTAACATAAATCAGCATTTTCACCTTTGCACTGAGACAGTATCTGTATTGAAAGGGATAGTGTGATATTCTGGGTCGTTTGGTACTGGTACTTGTGACAACTGAGTTGTAATAAATAAGATTAAAAAGTAGAGAGGGGGATGCCATAAGCACAGGAACCTTCCCCACTATACTCATATGCCATAGAGTTAGTCTAGCTGCCAAGTAGAGAAAACAGATGTCTCCAACACCTTGTTCTCAAAAGCAGTAAGTAAAAAAAGATATGAATAATATAAATGCTATCAACAATTGCAATCATGCAAAGCAAATGACAAGTAAAGTGAAGGGACCCGAATGCCCCATGAGAAAAATGGAAAATGAACTTGTTGTTTGCATTAATGGAATTAGAAGGAAGATTTGGCTGGAAAATTCTCCTGGACCTCTAGTAAACACAACAGTGCAGTTTTCAGGGATCACCTCATGTGTGGAGCTGGTAAAGTAAAGTCTGCAAGATGGAACAAAAGGAGAAATATAAAAATTAATTATAAGGATACCTGAGGAGGAGATATTTAAGTATAGCTATCTTTAGTCCCCCTGATGGTCTCTTGTTCCAGAGAATGGCTGGAATTTGTGGACCCTCCTCTTAAACTTTTTATTAATGTAATCCAACAGTAAATTTAGAAGCTATAATTCTCAATTAGGGGTTGGTGATGGCATCACTATGTAGTCACGCTTTCATCCTGCTCTTCCCTTCACTACACCTATGAATTTGCTATCCTTCATTGCACACTGATGTATCTTCCATTTGAAGCAGCTAAAGCACATCTTCTCCTGTCCCACTTACAACCCACCAGATGTATTATTTGTTAGGGGTTATTAACTGGAGGGTTGTATGAGTCTTCTCCCACTAGGTTTACGAAAGAAAATCCTTGTAATTGTTATACTTCATGCTGATGTTAATGCTGCTGGTGTACGTTTTAGACATGCGCGCCGGATGCCTGCCTGATTGGCCCTTCAAGACTTGTAGATGTGACTCCAAATGGTCTGATGCATCTAAGTTATTTTATTAGTGTAAACATTGGCATCCATGGGCTTCTCAGTGGTGTACTTGGATTAGCAAGAGTGTTTAAGATTACTTATTAGTTAAGAGGTTCATGATGACTACTTAAATCTTTCCTTTTTTATCTTTTTAAATAGTGAGAAGCAGAGCAGTTTAATGCTGATGGAGACTGCATTAGCTTCCACTTTCTGTGAGAATGTGAGAAATCTCTGCTTAGAAGGTTCCCAAAGTGAAAGTGTTTGCAAGAGAAAACATAGCTAGGAGACACATCCAAGCCTGGCTCTGGTGAGTAGAGCTGTTCTGATATAAAGGGAGCATCCCCCCAAAGGAAGAGAAAAGTTTTGGGAAGAGGGAAGAAAATGAAAGATCTTGTTTCCTAAGCTGAGAGAGAACTGGTCATCAGTTTATCAAATTGAGGGCTAATATCCAGGACTGATCCTGTTCTCACATATATATATCAGAAGTATGGACTTCATTAGAGCTACACCTAACTAAACCCACTGAATTCAGAGGAAAGTCAGACTCTGGGTCCCAACTGCTTTTGTTATCAAACAAAAAATAGACAAGACCTTTGCTTGTTACATGTTTTTTCCAATCGTTCTCTTGGAGAGTCAGAAAGTTAGAATGCTGTAGTGTGGGTGGCTGCCCTAGGGATCAAGGAACACCAGACAGAGTCTATAGTAAAGCTTCTTGCATTAGGATGGCGGCAGAAGAAACTATACAGAAAATGCAGTCCAGGAAAGAGTTCTTAGAAGATGAAGTAGGGATTAAGCCAGAGCCTATTTTACCATTTGCTAAAATGCTCAGTGCACTTGCCTTCATGGATTCTGCATTCCAGAGGACTGCATGCTGGGTTACTAAAATCCCTCTCTTGAACAGGCTTTGGAAATTCAGACGGTTGCTGACTGCCCATATGGCAGAATTTGGCTATTGCTATTAGACAGCTGCAGGAAGTTAAAGACAAGAAAGGGGAGACAGCACCAAAATCTTATGGACACACAGACATACGGAGAGACACATGGTTTTGCCTCATGGCAGGAGCTTCCAAAATATGTTCCTCATCAAAATGCCAGGGTCCTCTTTTCTTTTTTTCTTTCAGGAACTTCAGTTTGCACTTCTGCTTTTCCTACGTGATATGTATGTGATTTAAACCCTAATACAAGCTGAGCTTGTTTCAAGAGCATTTTAAAACAATTAGCACACCTACAAGAATAATAGCAAACCACCAAATTTCCGTTGCTCACAGACTCAAAGGGAGATTGAGTTTAGCATTCTTCCTTGGGGAAGAAATGACATGCTCCCCAGTAACGCAATGCCAAACCACTGCTCTCTGTTTTGAGTAGCAAATGCCATTCTCACTGCGTCTAAAAGCCCAGACTGTGTTTCTTTTCTTAACATGAAATTGTGTATTTTGGTACTGCTCTCAAACAACAGTTTAACAGAACAAAGGAGTTATCTTTATGAGACAGCCAGGGAAATACACAAAGAACAGGAAGATGCAGCTAACCTAAATAATGGCATTGAAACAAAATAGCTATCTGGCTATAAATAAACAATATGAAGTAAATATATTTATTTTTATTATGAGAAGACACAGACTTAATTCCTGGGGATAATGACATCTACTGTTTCCTCAGACTTTAGTTCTCATTTTTTCAGTCAAGCCACAGAATAACATTTCCTACTTTCTTCAACTTTTTACAGTATGAACTTTCATACCACTTTTTTTTGGAGAAAATTGCAAAACCCAGACATGTACATTTAGAAGAAAGGTCAGATTTTTTAAAACAATAAAATTGCCCAAACTGCTATTTTTGAACTGTGCAAATACATGCATTCTTACAGAGCAGGGAAGTAAACATACAAATGACTGCATTAATTAAGACAATGCTTAGTTTCCTGCAACCCAAAGGAATTTTCTTATTTAGACTAAGTCTTTAACGATGCAATCTCCCATTGTGTGTATGGGGGTGTACAAAGCAACAACTGCAATTTCACAGAAAGTCAAGGACTAGTCCTGACTTGGAGGGTGAATGGGGAAGGAATTAAATAATCCTCTAAACCAAAGCCAGAATCAACTTTCTGAGCACCAGACACAGTCACTTCAGCCTTCTCACTTTCCGTAATACAGTACTAAACAACCTGAGCAGAAGCCTGATTCACGTGCTTTTTTTTTTTTTTTTCCTAGGGAATGTCTTGTTGAGTATCTTGGGCAGGAAACTGGCCTGATCTCTTGATTTACAAGATTTAAAACAAACACTGGTGTTTCCCCCTCTCAGTCCTGACCAGCGGCACTGGGCTGAATCACTTCCCCAGCGGGGGCAAGAGACTTGTGAGAGCAAAGTGCTCTCTTAAGTGGCTGAGCGATCGGGAAACACTCTCAGGCTGACACACAGGCAGCCAGAACCACGACTGACCCCAGCAAAACGCCAGGGCATGGCACCGGTCCCCATCCCTCAGGCTTTACCTGCCGGTGGGCGAATGGCTGGGGGGGATGTCCTGCACAAAGCTCTGCTCCATGCCCGGGATCCTGGCCGGGCTGTGGGGATGGTAGGCTGTCAGGACCACGCTGCCCGAGTCCTTCATCTCCATGGTCATAGGCACATGTCGGCCCCACTGCCACTGACGAAGGCGACCGAGGGGTGCTGACAGGCCCCGACGGGAGGGCGAGCCGTCCTGTCACGGTCACGAACGCGTGGCCTGGCTCCGGAGCAGCCTCTCTCCACCGTTTGCTGTCAGGAGAGCTGTGTAACTGAGACGCGGCTCCTCTCCCTGTCAGGAAAGCTGAATTAGCATATATTCAAAAACACCGCCCACAAAACAACCCGCAGGGAAGTTACTACGTTCCTAGGAAACTGGAAACCTGAGATAATCCCGCATGGCACTGAGTGACCGCCTGGAAAACTTCTTGCTTGCTTTCTTTTTGTTTCATTTTAAGAGTCAATTTCTTAATACTGCTTCTGCTTCTGCTCCTGAAATAGGCTTGACTAAGTGAAATCATTTGTCCGTTAAGCAGCAGGATGAGTAGAGAGCACTACTCAAACACAAAACATGGTTTGTCAGAGCAGGGAGTGACATTAAGGTGATTACACGAAAGATTCAGAAACCAAGTGGGCTCTGCTCTGCTTAAATTATCAAGGAGCAGGAACCTTGATTTCCTACATGCCAGATCATTTCTGTGGCAGGGAACTGCACTTGCTTTCTTCTGAAAGCAGAGTAAGATTCAATTTTTCTTGATACGGCTGTGAACATAATTAGAAGGGCACTGGGAAATGACTGAATTATTTTTACAATAGTGTGTGTTCATCTGGAACAATCCCATAAATAAATACACCGAGAGACACTGGATATTTTTTCATGCTTGCGCTTGATCCTTGCACACTAATTGAATGTTTTTCACTGAAAAAGAAACCAGCAAGCAAAACTATCAGGGTCCAATTCTGGAGTAATACTCAGAGAAATCTCTGTAGACAAAAAAGAGCCAACTCACACATCCTTTTATTTTCCTCTTCCACTTCTTCAGTGTTTGGGGGTTTCTTGTAAAGAAATGTTGTTGATAAATGACTGTTCCTGAAAACTCCAGTCCTGCCTATTGAATCATGGGAAGTGTGTCCCTAATTTTACTCTGTGAGCCACAGCTCTCTGAGCACCTTGCAAGCATGTGGGTGAAACACCAGCCTGTGCTCACCTTTGTCACAGCTGCCAGCAGCATCCCCAGTGCAGGTACTGTGCAAAACACCTGTCAGGCTCCTCTTTCGCATCCCCCTTGAGTGAAGGGACTCTCCCTAGTGCTGCTATAGGGCTGCCTAAATTACACTGTAGGTCTCTCCAGCTGGTGAGGTAGCTCAGGTTTTGAAGGGAACAAAAATGATTAATTTCATCTCCACCTTCCGCCTGAACTGGGTATCCTGCCTGGAGGGACATGATCATTTCAGTCAAATATGTTGCTGCAACTCCTGTGGGCAGCGCCCAAGTTAATTTTAAATTAGCCAGCATAGGACACTGATAACACTACACTTGGCAGCACTTCTTGCCAGACTCACCCAGGAAGCATAAATATTTGAACATGCAGGGCTTCTAGGCTTGCTCTTTTTAGGCTGCGAACATATTCTGGATTAAATATTTCAAGGCGAGGTTGCCCGGGATAAAATCATGGTTGCTTCCATAGCAGTGTGGAGGCCCTCTGGGAGCCACTGTGCAGCCATGTACATATGTCAGAAATGGAGGAGAAGGCTTTAAACTAACTCTGGAAGCATTGCCTATTGCCCATGGCATCAGGACTATATCCCACCGTGCCACCAGTGAGGACTGAGGTGAATGCAATAACCAGTGAAGACCTCATTGTACTCTGTGATTACTGGGGTACTTAGGAGAGGAATAGGATCTGATAAATTAGGATAGAAGCCATCATGGATCTCACATCCCAACTTTGTAGAGCACTGACTGTATGTCGGGTTGGTACCTGACTGCTGGATGACCAGGGATGCTGCTGCTAGTGTCATTTTTTTTCCCATCCTACCATGGATTTACATTCCTCTTCCTGGACCAGAAGGTAGCTACCCCACTTCTCTGATGAGGGGGACTAAATTATAAATATAGATTTATATTTAGCACAAGTGCAAAGAGTTATTTTGAAAATTAATTAACCTAAATGCGTATGTCAAACTGAGACCACAAAATTGGTAAATATATTTTATAAAATATCTGCTGACAACCTTTAAGGGCATTCTCCACAATTTACTTCAAGAAACTAAACACTTAAAGGAGCACAGATAGTGGAAGGCACCATGCACTGTCAGAAAGTGAGTAGATGTCCTTTAAGAGATCAGAGTGTAGACAAAATATTGACTGCAACTCCAGGAAAGTCTTTTTTCTCCCCTTCCTAGCATCATAACACTAAGCTTTCTCCAGTACCATCAGACAACAAAATGATGGTTATGTGCTTTAAGCTACGTGTAAAGCCCACAGTAGAAATACCATGTATTTTTAGTATAATTTTTATTTCCTCTCTTCCCATAATAAAAAAAAAAAAACAAGCACCAATATGACTTAGAAAAGAATACAGTTACCATGTCAATAGTAAAATTCATATAAAGAAAGGAGGCCCACACTTATTAAATGGGATTTGGTCTCTAAGAAATATAAACATAGAAGATTTTATTTGGAGATTTATAAAGTGCTGGTGCACAAACTGGAGTCTTGTATGGAAATGGCAGACAATTTGGCACAAGTACAAATAGATATTCTGAAAATTAATCAGCCAAAATACATATATCAAACTGAGAGCTAAAAATGTTTATATGCATAATGTCTCTTGGGGTTAGACATCTGCATATTATTGAAAACCAAAAATGATGCTAAATCAACTAGAGATAGACATAGGCCATTAAACAAAGTTTTAACTGGACTAGTGATAAGAAAAGAATACAAGGCAACATGAGCCAGATTCCTCCTTAGTTCTTTCTTTGTAGTTCTGTTAGTTAATGGAGAATTTATTCTCCTGGTTTCTAAAGAAGCAAGTAGGAAAATATTTTAATCCTACATGCTTGTGTTTCTACAGGATCTCATTCAGTATTCAATCATGGAGTATTCAGAACTATTACAGTTCTAATGGCTTTTTCAGGAAGTTTATAGCTCCATAGACCTTTCAAATACTCTGGAAATGTTGTTTTGGTGAGAATTAATATTGTGAGCATGACTTTGACAGCAACAAGTAAAGTGAATGTACAGCAAGAGAAGAGTCTGTTGGGATTCTGTAGGCAGTGAACCCATGAGCTGCTCCCTTGGGTTTGGTAGGTAAGGACCTTGTGCTTCCAAATTTTACATTGTGCTTGTGCCAAGGGGAGGGCTTTGCACTTTAACAAATTTGGCAAAAGAATGATTTATATATAGATCACTGGCTGCAGACTTTGAGAACTAGGAGTGAAAAACCTTTATTAACCTATTGCTTCAGAAACATGTTAGTGGCTACATAGATCTATGATCAAGACTCCAGCTCTTCTGTTGAAGAATATCTGTGACACCCATATACAAGAAGTGTAAATACACAGAAAGTCACTAGTTAAAGTCTATTGAGATGAAAAGAAGTTTTCATTGTTTTTAATAATATTTATGTATTTATATAATACTAATTAGTAATCACTGTGTCAGTAACATGATGAGCAACCTTTGTGTAGCAAACTTAGTGTTTATTGCTTGGAAAGGAACAAATACTGTTTTCACATAGGTTTTAAACAGCCTTTTCTGGTTAAGTTCAAGGGGGGCTGTCACTGGGTGGAATGGGATTTGTTAGCTAGGGGTTCTTGTCCTGAGATGGTGAGGACACGTACCATTATATCGTAAGAGTAGAAACACAGAGCCTTGGAAAGTTCAAAATTCCCCTTTGAACTACAAATCACACAAAAAATCTCTGGGTGTTGAATTTCATTGCTCACTTCCAGCTTAAATTAGCTGGGACAAAATTGGACCGAATTTACAAAACTTTTAAGCTAATTTTGGACCAGTTTAATGTAAACTTGGGTTAGATTAAGTTTTAAAAGGAAGCTGTGTAAACCAGCATTTTTTACTGATTAAATCAAAGGAAATAGAGTGGAGCAATACAGAGAAAAATGTTATCCTAGCACTGCGTCTAAATTTTCTCATCCCTCTCGCAATAAATATTGTATCTATCTGTGTGAAAGAAACCAAACCCTGTACCACTGTATTTCTCCATGCTTTGAGGAATAAAAAATGGTATCTCTTACTTGTCTCTAATTTGTTGTTTGGATGGAAAGATGCTTGAGGATTGTTGGGCAGAAAGATTCACGACACCAAAGAGTTGGTGTGGGCAAAAAGCACCTGGACACGCTGAAAACAAGGAGTGCCACAACATTGCGTAAATGTCAAGGACAGTGGCATGTGAGTCTCCTACTGCTCGGTACCAATCCTCCTGTGAAAAAAGTTTCTGAGAAGGGGCTGGCTTTTGTGTCAGGGAAATTTTCACTGTGGCTTGAAGTCTGTTTCCTTTAAAAGAATTCTATGCATCATGAAGGATAGTTTCTAATGTTTGATTTAGCCTCTGTGCTTTCCATTCCTGTGATGCCAGGAGGATTAGTCTTTTTTTTCCACTATAAAGGTGAGGTGTTTGTGTGCCTTGGTGTGGGCAACTGGGAATGTGAGTGAAGGGTGAGATGCATCAGTAGCATCAAAACACACCTAATGCTTTTAGAACATTGAAAAATTAATAAGCCAAAAAATAAACAAAATTAGAGGAAACTCTTTGTTAGTCTGCTTTCTTCATCTTTTCAAACTGAGATTAAAGACAACATTGAGAAAACTGTTACTTGTTCTTTATAAACAGTCTAATTAACAAAGCTATTTAGGCAAAGAGAATTGAAAACAGGTATAGTGGCAATTAGTGGTTTTTCAAAGATTTTTAATTAGAGTATAAAACAAAACATTCATCTTTGTTAAATATAATCTCACATATTTCAGTCCCAGGCCCAATTTAAATATACATCACACTTTGGTGAACTTTCATGTTGTCATTTTTTTATTGAGTGATTTACTATGGATTCTTTTGTCTTAGAAAAGACACAGAAGCATAGAAAAAAAATCTTTAGACAGCTTTGTGTAGCTTCTTGCTTAGGAATGACTCTCGTTTATTTTCTAGGATTTCAAAAGTTGGTTTTCCTTAGCCCAGATTAGACTACCCATATATTATTGCCATGTTAATTATGTATAGAAAAGGAAAC